AGGGCTTTTGATGGAAGTTGGGGGGTGGGAGTGGTGCCTCCCTTAAAAAGTTTAGGCTGTGCTCAGTTATGTGGGTGTGAGATTTTTTGGTTTGTTTGTTTGTTTAAGGTGGATGCAATTAAACTTGACCTTTAATACCAATAATAATGTGACACCTTCCATTTCTTTGCCATAGTATCACTCGTAAAATTTCCTCGCTGATAGTGCTGCAGCAAGAGGGCTTGGTTGTTGCAGGTCAAGTCAATTCATAATGAATTACCTAGCCAGGGAATGGTGGAAGGTTAATCTAAGCTATATTAAAAACCTTTAATAAACACTATTTTACTGTACGTAGACGTTTGGACATATTGACCTGGCTGAATGATGTATTTATGTGGAGATTCTTTTAAGTGTATATTCCTATGACAGTATTGTTTATATAGTTATTAGGAGATGGGGGTTAAAGAACCTACGTTCAGTGATGATCATTTTGTAAATGATTGTGCAGCATTTGGCTGGTTTTCGGAAGAGGGAGGGTCTGCTATCAAAATGTTATTTGCCCTTAGAGTAATTTTGTTAAATAGGAACATTACATTAGGGAACTAAACAAAGAAAATATTTTTCAAGAGCAAGATTTATTGCAAATTTCCAGCTTGTTCTCAGGGATCTCATTTTTGTGTGTTTCCTTTGATATTACCATGTTTATGGATGCTGTGTGCAGCCATTGAGCAGAGAAGAGACTGGGTGGAGTAAGGAGGCAAAGCTGCGAAATGGCTAGATTACCCTTTCATAGCTTTTTTTTTTTTTTCCTTTGCTTGCGTTTTGCTGGGGTGGAGGAATACTAATTGCCGTAACAATGAAGTCTCTTCTTTAGGGAAGAATCTAATGGTGCAGGAACCTTCTGAAATGAAACAAATCTCGCATTCTGTTTTGAGGCTTATTTTTCTGCAGGGTGGATCTCGATTTGTCTGACAGTGAGAAGTGACCGGTCAGTGTTGCAAAGCCAGAATTTTTTTGTCTGATAATAATTTCAATGTATCAACTTAGATATACACTTGTTGAATTTATTTTATTTACACTTTAGATAAAAATTATCATTTTTTGCAGGTATTTTGCACACCAGATTCTCTGAAATATAGAGAACCCCCGGTATTGTTGCTTAGTGCTGTTATTTGTTCATATAACTTCTTGGTTAGAGTGGGTTATGGGTGGACACACAAGAAAAGACAATCCCTGCTTTCTCTGGTGCCCACAGTAGAGTAACTCCTATTAGCATACGGACTTAATTGCATTACCCTTCTTCATGTGCCGAGTTCATATAACAGCTCAAGATTTTGGAAGCCCTTTTGAACAATATGGCTCTGTAAGAGCATTACTGTACCACTCGGGTACTGCTGCATCATGGGGGTACTGCTGATGCTTAGACTTAAAGTTGTGTAGGAAAGGCGTTAGAACAAAGGGTTTGGGGAGCACAATAGGGATCAGCTGAAGCACCTAGGAAGGGCTGGTTGTGGAAGGGCTCTCCTTTTCCAGATGTGGCTCATGGCATTCCCACCTGAATTCAGCGTTGATCGGAGCAAGTACAACACTGAACACGAATGATTCTGAAGCAGGTTGAAGTTTTGCTTTTTCTTGGGTCTGTCTCGGTTCTGGCGTGCAGTTTTTGATGGTAGATGGCCAAAGATGAGACTGCATTTGGTTTCAATTTGCCCAAAATTAAATTAAAGGGTAGTGGCTTTTCTTTTAAGATGTACTTCATTCACTTAGAGTTGATGTTACAGGATTCAATGGATGTGTTCACTAAATGCCTGCATCTAAAAATGAGTCCAGGCTAAAAGCAATGAAGAACCTAATAGAACACTTGCCTTCTTATAACTTTGGTTGATTTTTGTCCTTGAAATGGTGGCAGGTACTTTCTGTACAGGAGTAACTTGTTCATTTCTGTCCTACAAAAGCCAAAGGCATTAATACTTACCTTTATGACTGTATGCAAGGTCTCTTGCGTGTATTGCTGACTCTTCTGCCTCTACTGTTCCCTATGCTCCACCCATCCTCAAGTGCTCAGTTTGTATTCTTTGTCTGCTCTCAACTTTTTTGTCTATCCAACTTGCTATCGATGGGACAGCTACTGAATTAACATCAGTTGACTGTCTTGCCCAACACTCCAACCTTGTCTGTCTTCAGCAACTCTGGAACCAACTTCTATCAGTGCTAAGTACAATGCATTTGTACCCTCTTGTAAAATATTGTGGGCAAACTGGGAAATCCCTGGCTCTCTAGCTCAGAAATACGCTGTGTATGTTTGTTGCAAAGCTCATTTTCCACCCTCTGTAGCCGCTTCTGGTATTCATGGACTGGAGTGGTTGGGTGCCTGTTGTACGAAGGGGAGCAGCTTTTGAACAGTTTTGTTTTGGTCAGCTTTCCTCTCCTTTTGTGAACTTCAGGCCCGTTTTCTAAACTAAAGGCACAGACTGGGAGGGCTGCTGAAATGTCTGTGAGGTGAACACTGACATACTTGTCAGCCTGAATATGAGAACTGCGTAGGCCTATATTTAGGAAATCGAGAGGACAATAAAAATCAGTAATTACTATTAATAAATAATAATTTCAGATTTCGTATAGGGTGTGGGGGAGTTTCCAGCCTATAACATGTAATTTCTGATGGCAATTGAAGATAGTTCCCAAGTATCAGAGCCATGTGTGTTAATCAAAATGGTTCTGGGTTTCTTCTGTGAGGTTTATTACAGAGAAGTAGTAAGTTATGTACCGTCTATACATGCAGATCTGTTAGCGAAGCTACAACTGGTCTCCTCTTTCTCCTTGTCAGAAGAGCCTAAATAACATTGGCAGAACTGTATACTAAAAATGTACTCAGCTGATTAAGTCTTGCCTGTGTTGAATGGCTTTCTTGGGAGCTACTTCATAACCTGACACAAGGGGAACGGGGCTGCTAATGTGGCTTTTGGGTGTTGTAGGTGTTTATTAATGGGTGATGTTGCTTTGTCTTTTGATCTGCCTGACAGAGCAGGCACCTCGGTTTAGCTTTTTAAAAATAGGCATTTACACCAAGATGTAATCTTGACCTGTTTAAATCTAGCTTTCAGGTACATACAGTTATTTCTTCAGAATTCTTAGTACAATGCTGTCCAAGTTAGCAGGAGTGCTCACGTGGTCATCTTCTGCATGGAAGGCTTGTGCCATTACTGGAAACGCAGTGGGGTGATTTGAGCTGTAGCTGTATTATGTCAGCTTCATTGGGGTGCCCTTAGCTCAGGTTGAGTTAAATGTCTCTTTTTCTTATATTACAGTTATTTTAGAACAATGTTTTTCCTCGTTCCTACCATGCTTTGAGACCTACTGATGAGTATTACATATTAGAAACATCTGAAAGAACTGTGATTTTTATCTGATGAATAATTTAGTTCTAGTTT